TTTGAATGAAAAATTACATATTATAAACAAAATAGCAAACTTTGAAGTGAAGCACCAGTACTTCACACCTACAGCTAAACAAATTCATATCATTGGTTCTATCTTTATTTAAAATGTTGATATTTGTTGTGGTTTGTGTCTGTGTGTCCCCGCAAAGCCTCATGTGGTCATGGGGCAGGCTTCTAGAGTTTGATTGATTATGGGTGTGAGAGCTACACCCGCCCTGGGGTGGATTGTTTGCATATGTAAGGGAGAGGAAGAGGCTGCTTGCCACCATTCCTCCCTTTTGTTTTTGTTGCTTTTGCTGTGTTCTGCTGCCATGAGCTGTAGCCCTCTGCCATGTGCCACTCTGCCTTGTAACCTGCCAAGTATGGACTGAAACCTCCACAAACTGTAAGTGAAATAAACCTTTCCTTCCTTAATTTTGGGCATAAAGTATTTTGTCCCAGCAATGAGAGAAAAGCAACCAAGACCATATTTTATTCATCAGAAGTGCTTTTGAGTCAAATTTGATGTTTAAAACTGTATTGCATCAAAATATTGATTGTCCTGACTACTGAGGCTTTTGGTGGCCCTTAAATTTTTCATTCTACTCATCTAGGCTTGGATCTTGCAAGCCATTGTCCTGGGCAGATGTTCTAAAGTTCAGAATCTAAACTGTCAATAACTGTCCTTGGCTCCAAAGCCACTTGACTGTAGCAAGCATTGACACTTTGTCTTCTGACAATCCTTGCTTGCTAAGCCCGGTTGGTAATGACAGGGAATGAAGTACAGCGTGGAGATCAAGTCAATTGCTTTTGTCTAGAGTGACAATCTCCTTCTCAGGTCCTGGTCTCAGGAAACACACCTGTACCCAAAATGCATAGCAGGGTGAGGCTGGTCTAGATATTTTTGAAACTTTCTCTAAAGTGATTCTGATTCATCATTGCTCCCCATTACCTTAGAAGAACCACTGAGCTAGATCATGTCATAAATGCCCTGCCACTCAAAATGTGTGCAGCAGCCGCAGCACACTTTGGAGTTTTTAACTAATGTACATGTCCTGGCTCTACCTTACATGTACGGGAACATAAAACTGGGGGTACAGGCAGGAATGGGGGTTTAGAAAGACAGACATGTGCTACCGTGTGGAAAATGCTGATCACACAAATAATCATCTACCTGTTAATGGATTTGTGACAACTAGTGGAGAGCTACTTACTCCCTACTTAGCTAAGGCTACTTCCAGAGATAAGGAGAAGGCTCTTCAGAGCTTCTCTTGTGTAGGTACAGGGCAATCCAATTGCTGTGAGACCATGTCAGCCAATGTGTCTTAGGAACAGAGTTTTGGCCAAATGGATGGTTTCTTGGGAGTCACTACGACAAGAGAAAACATGTACCATGAGTAAGTCATCTACCTGGGAATGCAACGAGGCATAAGCAGAAGTTAAATCTTTCTGCAAGCTCAAGGGGCAAGTCTGAAGGCAGACCAGAATAAAGAAAGTCCCAGTCCGGAGTCCAAAGCCATTTTCACAAGGGAGCCAGTGAAGCCCAATGTTCTTTCTCAGTGCCAGCCAAGCAGCACATGGATAAGAAGGTGAGGCTAAAGGGATAAGATCCAGGGAACAGAGCTAGAATGTGGATTTTAA